AGGCGCAGCCGGGCTCCGGGGCAGCAGAGCAGAGAAGCCGGCGGCAAATTCCGGGCAGGAAATCGACCTAACCTTGCCTCCCGCCCCATCGCGGGTAAAAACTGGGCCGGGGAGGGGCCCCTGGGAGCTGGTGAGGACCGGAGTCTCCCGGTGCGCGGGAAGGTGGCGTGAGGTCCGCGGCTGAGGGGCGGAGGGGGAGGAGGAGGGAGAAGCGAAGTGTAGCTGCCAGGCTTCTACGGCAGCGCCCCGGGGTGGGCGCCAGTTGGGCGCCGTCTCTCCCGAGTGGCGAGTTCTCCAGTGCTAGCGGGGCAAGACTCCTGGAAGCTCCGCTGGGGACCCTGGGGGCAGGCGCCAACGGCGTCCATAAATATAGAAGAGATGGCAAGGGCAGACTTGGAAATCCTTATACCCTGGGGCTCATGGTCAGTCAGGTGATAAGGGTGATTTCTACATTTTAACACCACTTGGTCCTGGGGAGTAGCTTACAACTTCAGTAGAACAGCTAAGTGAACTCGACAAGTCTAAGAAGGACCAGCTCTGGAGAGAAATAGGGGGTTATTAAGAACCTGTGTAATATTAAATGGAGCCTATTGTTCTGTTCTGGGGTTCCATCATGCCCCCAAATGGATCCGCAGATGAATGAACTATCCATACATTTACTAGCAGAGGGCAGCTTTTTCTCTAAACATAAAATGTGAAACAGATAATACTTGCCTAATGAAACTGGAAAATTGTATTGTTCATCTCGTGCCTGCTTTGCATTAACTTAAACACTACTTGCACGCTATTCCAGTAGATGCACAAGAGCACATCGTTAGGGTTTATCCTTCACTGAAATCTCTTAATCTCTGACTCTGCATGTAAGTGTGACAGAAATTAATTGCCACTTTAATCAGTGCAGACAGCCAATTAGGATAATGCAACATGAACGTGCTTTTGGAAAGAAAAAGTTTGAGGACTGAATTACTCAATCCCTTTTTCTTCAGTATTTCTATTGATAGAGCAATGCTATACAATAAGACAGGCCCTTTCCTTACCTCCATGTTTTTTTTTCCACAGAATGATTTGTTCCAGAAATGTTGAGTTTGTGTTGCTGGGCAGACTTCTGCCCAATGTATCAAAATGTTTTGTAACTGTTTGAACTTTTGACCTCTCTCGGGAATGTTCTGTTAAACTCTGCCCCTTTCAGGAATGTTCTGTTAGCTCCACCTCTCTCAGGAATGCCCCCATTAGCTCCGCCCCCTTCAGTAATGTTCTGTAACCCCACCCCTCTACTTCAGCAAGCATGCGCAACTACCCTGTAGCTCCCTATATAAGGAGGTACTCATTTCTGTTAGAGCGCTCAGACTGGAACTTCTCTCAGCCTGCTTGATTTCTGAGTGACCATTGGATTCTTGAATCTTCAAATAGCTGTAACTGCCACACTGAGCTTTAACACATGGTTTTGCCTTAGATCTTTAACATTTGGTTATACCACCAAGCTGTTCCACCTTGCCACACATTATAAACAAAATTTCAAGTTGGGATTTAAAAAAAAAAAAAAA